AGAGAGAGAGAGAGAGAGAGAGAGAGAGAGAGAGAGAGAGAGAGAGAGAGAGAGAGATCAGGTCTTAGATTAATTAAATGGAATACAAAAAGAGAGTATATAGAATTAATTGAAGTGTCAATTGTTTAAAAATATAAAAAAGATTGACAAACCCTTAGCCAGTCTAACCAAATGAGAGAGAAGATCAAAATTAATATCCCTAGAGATGAAAAAATGGATGTGATAAAGATTCCAAAGAAATACAGAAAACCATTGGTAAAAACTTCTATTCTTACAAATTTGGAAATCTAGCAGTGGGCTAATTCTTAGACACACATGACCAGAACTAATTCAGGAAGATATAAACAGTTTAAGCCAATTCTTAACAGTCTCCCAACAAAGAAAGTCCTAATAATTAGTGAAATCACTGCTGAGTTCTACCAAATCATTGAAGAAGAACTAACATCAATGCTTCTCAAATCGTTCTGTTAAGCACAAAGGGAAGGAAAGCTAATAAACTCATTCTAAGAAGCCAGCATTACCTTGATACCCAAATCAGATAAGGACACAACAAAAAAGAAAACCATAAGCCAAATTCCTCAGTGAACATAGACACAAAAATGCTTGTGGCCGCATTCCTGCTGAGCTCTTCCTGGCCTGGCTCCAGAGAGTAGCACCTAGCCCCAATCCATCCTTTGTTTAACTACACCTTTTGCTTCTCTTATCCCTTTTGTTTCTCCTATCACCCTATGTGAATCTTGTCTGAGAGTCTCCCAAGGATCAAAGGCCTATGCAAAACTTGGTTCAGGAAACTCGGAAACCTTGATACCTAAGAAATCAAGGAATTTGCACTTGGCATTTTATCTTTGGGAGCTCCTTTCAGGTTGCTTTGAAGATATGGAAATTAACTGGCTAAACTGTAAATAGAGAGAAAATAAAAATGCCCTGAACAAAGGGAAAGCGCTTCAGTCTTTAGAGGCTGGATCCTCCTGCAGCCACCAAATTCATTCTTAAGGTGCCTCTGAGTCTTCTTTCCACAGCACCATGTGTACCCACACACCTATGCCATGACAAACCACAACAAATGCTCAATAAAATTCTTACAAATAGAATTCAATTTAGAGGCCGGGTGGTGGTGGCACACGCCTTTAATCCCAGCACTTGGGAGGCAGAAGCAGGAGGATCTCTGTGAGTTCGAGGCCAGCCTGGGCTACAGAATGAGTTCCAGGACAGGCCCCAAAGCTACACAGAGAAACCCTGTTTCAAAAAATTGAAAAAAAAAAAAAAAAAAGAATTCAATTTAGTTTCACTGTAAGAATGGCTCAACATATGTTAATTAATAGGTGTAGTGCAGCAGAGAGAGTTAAGGGCAGAAATCGCATGATCATCTAAACAGATACATAAAAGGCTTTTGACATAGCTCAACATCCTTTGATGATCAAAATACTGAAGAAACTAGGAATAAATGGAACCTACCTTGGCATAATAAAGGCTACATACAATAAACCTATGACTAACCTTATAACTAATAAGGAAAAGTTGAAAGCATTTCCTCTAAAATTAGGACCAAGACAAATTTTCTCATTCTCTGCTCTTACTCAACATAATGCTTGGAGTCTAAGCTACAGAAAGAGAAAGAAAGAAAAGGGACACAAATAGGAAAGGAAGTCAATTTATCTCTCTTGTGGGATGATATAAATCTGCTTAAAAGACTGGAGACATCACCAAAAAAGTCTTATATCTAACGAACACTTTCAGCAAAGTACCAGGTGCAAAATCAAAACAAAAAATGAAAAAAAACAGTAGTTTTTATGTGCTAATAATTAACTTGCTTAATATTCACAGTAGCTTAAATATAGATCTTGGAATAAACCTAACCTAGGAGCTGAAAGTCTTCTATAGTAAAATGTTATGGCTAAAGAAAGACATTATAGAAGACACTAGAAGGAGAAGCCTTCTTTATTCATGGATTGGCGCAATTAATATTACGAAAATGGCTATGTCACCAGTATGTCTACAGCTTTAACACATTTCCTAGCAAAATTTCAATGGCATTCTTCATAGAAATAGAAAAGGAATATAAAAATATATAGGGAAGTACAAAAGATGCCAAATAGTCAAAGCAGTCTTGAGCAGAAAGCAGTGCTGGGTGTTCATAATACCCAAACTCAAATAATACTATAGAGCCACAGTGACAAAGTCAGTATGATAATGACATCTAGGCCCCAAAAACAAGGGCACCCACATTTGTAAAAGAAACATTACAAAAGCTAGAATCACACATAGAACCCCACACAATGGTAGTGGGAGACTTCAACACCCCACTCTCACCAATCGACAGGTCATACAGACAGAAACTAAACAGAGAAATAATGGAACTTACAGACATTATGCCTCAAATGGACCTAACAGATAGCTACATAACATTTCACCCAAATACAAAAGAACACACTTTCTCTGTACTGCGTGGAACCTTCTCCAAAATTGACCATATACTCAGGCACAAAGCAGGTCTCAACAGATACAAAAATATGTGAAATAACCCCCTGTATTTTATCAGAGCACCATGGATTAAAGGTGGATTTTAACAACAACAGAAATAACAGGAAGCCCTCAAACTCATGGAAATGGAGCAACTCTCTACTGAGTTATCACTGGGTCAAGGAAGAAATAAAGAAAGAAGTTAAAGACTTCCTAGAATTCAAAGAAAATAAATGCACAATATACCCAAACTTATGGAACACAATGAAAGGGGTGGTAACAAGAAAGTTCATAGCACTAAGTACCTTCATGAATAATTTGGAGAGATCTTATATTAGTGACTTAATAGCACACCTGAAAACTCTAAAAAAAAAAAAAGACATATTTAAGAGGAATAGATGACAAGAAATAATCAAAATGAGGGCTGAAATTAATAAAATAGAAACAAAGAGAACAATACAAAGAATCAATGAAACCAAGAGTTGGTTCTTTGAGAAAATCAACAAAAAATAGATAAACCTTTATCCAAACTAAGTAAAAGGCAGAGAGAGACTATGCAAATCAACAAAATCAGAAACAAAAATGGAGACATTATAACAGACTCTGAGGAAATCCAGAGAATCATTAGGTCATACATCAAAAACCTGTGCTCCACAAAATTGAAAAAATCTAAAAGAAATAGACAAATTTCTTGATAGGTACCACTTACTAAAGTTAGATGAAGATTAGATAATCAATTTAAATAGATCAATAGCCACTAATGAGATAGAAGCAGTAATTAAGTCTCCTGACCAAAAAAACCCAGGCCAGACAGTTTTAACACAGAATTCTACCAGACTTTCAAAGAAGAGCTAATACCAATACTCCCCAAATTATTTCACAAAATAGAAACGGAAGGAACATTTTCAAATTCTAAGAGGCCACAGTCACCCTGATACCCAAACCATGCAAAGACTCAACAAAGAAAGAAAATTACAGACTAGTTTCACTCATGAACATTGTTACAACAATACCCAATAAAATACTGACAAACTGAATCCAAGAACACATCAAAAAGATCATCCAGGACCAAGTAAGCTTCATCCCAGAGATACAAGGATGGTTCAACATATGAAATTCTGTTAACGCCATCTACCATATACACAAACTGAAAGAAAAAAAATTACATGATCATGTTCTTATATACTGAAAAAGCCTTTGACAAAATGTAATACCCCTTCGTGATAAAAGTCTTGGAGAGATCATGGATGCAAGGGGCATACCTAAACATAATAAAAGCATTATACAGCAAGGCAATTGCCAACATAAAATTAAATGGAGAGAATCTCAAAGCAGTTCCATTAAAATTAGGAACAAGACAAGGTTGTCCATACTCTCCATACCTATTCAATGTAGTACTTGAAGTTCTAGCTAGAGCAATAAGACAACTAAAGGAAATCAAGGGGATACAAAAGGAAAGGAAGAAGTCCAAGTATCAGTTTGTATATGATATGGTAATATACATAAGTGACCCCCAAAACTCTGCCAGAGAATTCCTACAGTTGATAAACACTTTTAGTCAAGTGGCTGGATACAAGATTAACTAAAAAAATTATCAGTAACTCTCCTACATATAAATGATAAACAGGCTGAAAAACAAATAAGAGAATCAACACTTTGTATAGTAGCCTCAAATAATACAAAATACTTTGTACCTCTAACCAAGCAAGTGAAAGACCTGTGTGACAAGAACTTCAAGCCTTTGAAGAAAGAAATTGAAGAAGATATCAGAAGATGGAAAGATCACTTATGCTCATGTATCAGTAGGATTAATGTAGTAAAAATGGCCACCTTACCAAAAACATTCTACAGATTCAATGTAATCCCCATTAAAATCTGAACACAATTCTTTATAGACCTTGATAGAATAATACTCAACTTCATATGGAAAAACAAAAAACCCAGGAGAGTTAAAACAATCATGTACAATAAAAGAACTTCTGCAGGTATCACCATCTCTGATTTCAAGCACTACTATAAAGCTATAGTAATAAAAACCACATGGCATTTGCATAAAAACAGTTAGGTGGATCAATGGAATCAAATCAAAGTCCCAGACATAAATCCACACATCTATGGACACCTGATTTTTGACAAAAGAAGCCAAAATTATACAATGAAGAAAAGAAAGGATCTTCAACAAATGGTGCCAGTCTAACTGGATGTTGGCATGTAGAAGAATGCCAAATAGATCCATATCTATCACCCTGCACAAAACTGAAATCCAGTGAATCCAAGACCTCAAAATAAATCCTGATACACTGAACCTGAGAGAAGAAAAAGTGGTAAGTAATCTTAAGTACAGTGGCACAAGAGACAATTTCCTGGACACAACACCAATAGCACCGATACTAAGACTGACAATTAATAAATGGGACCTCATGAAATTAAAAACTTTCTGTAAGGTAAAGGAGAGTGTCAATATGATAAAATGTCAGCCTACAGAATGGGAAAAGATCTTCACCAACTCCACATCTGACAGAGGGCCGATTTCCAAAATTTATAAAGAACTCAAGAAACCAGATATCAACAAACCAAAAAATCCAATTGAAAATGAGCTACTAAACTAAACAGAGAATCCTCAACAGAATAATCTCAAATGGCTGAGAAATACTTTAGGAGATGTTCAACATCCTTAGCCATCAGGGAAATGTAAATAAAAATGACTCTGAGGTTCCATCTTACACTTATCAGAATGGCTAAGTTCAAAAACACAAGTGACAGCTCATGCTGGAGAGGATGTGGAATAAGGGGAACACTCCTCCGTTGCTGGTAGGAGTGCAAACATGTACAGTCACTTGGAAGTCAGTGTGGCAGTTTCTCAGAAAACTGGGAATCAATCTACCAGAAGATCCAGCTATATCAGTCTTGGGCATATACCTGAAGAATGCTCAATCATACCACAAGGACACTTGCTCAACCATGTTCATAACTGTTTTATTTGTAATAGCTAGAAACTGGAAACAACATAGGTGCCCCTCGACCAAAGAACAGACAAAGAAAAGGTGTTAAATTTACACAGTGGAATATTACTCAGCTGTTAAAAAGACAAGGACACTAGGAAATTTGAAGGCAAATGTATAGAATTAGAAAAATCATCCTGAGTGAGGTAACCCAGACTAAGAAAGATAATATGATATATTTGTCACTCATAAGTGGATATTGGCTGTAAGATGAAGACAATTATGTTACAATCCACAGCCAAAGGAAGACCATGTAACAAGGAAGGTTCATGGGGGAACACTTGGATCTTCCTGGGAAGAGGAAATATAAGAGATTTCATGAGTGTATTGAAGGCAGGTGCGGATGGGAATAGGTTGTGGGGGCAGAGAGGGAGAATACTGAAAGAGACTATTGGGAAGGGGGAGCATTTTGGGGTCAGGTAAAAACCTGGCACAAAAGAATCTACAAGGATGATCCCAGCTAAGACTCCTAGCAATAGCAAACACATAGCCTGAACTGACCATCTCCTGTGGCCAAATGGGTGCCTAGTTCAGTTCTTATCAGAGACTTCAACCAGCAACTGATAGAAACAGATGCAGACTCACAGCCAAACACTAGGTGGAGTTTGGGGAAATCCTTCAGAAGAGGGTGAGAAAGGATTGTAAGAGACAGAGAGGTCAAAGACACCACAAGAAAACTCACAGAATCAACTAACCTGGCCTCATAGGGGCTCACAGAGACTGGACCGACAACCAGAAAGCCTGCATGGGACTGACCTAGGCCCTCTGCATATGTGTTACAGTTGTGTAGCTTTGTCTTTGTGACTCCTAACAGTGTGAGTAGTGGTTGTCTCCGACTCTTTTACTGGCATTTGGGACCTTACCCCTCATACAGGTTTATCTTGCCCAGCCTTAATAAAAGGGGAGGTGCTCAGTCTCAGTGCAACTTGATATGACACATTTTGTTCATACTCATGTGAGACCAGCCTTTTCCTAAACAGAAAGAAAGGAGAAGTGGATTGGGGTTGGGAATAGGGGTGGGGGTTGGGTGGGAAACTAGGAGGAGAGGAGGGAGGGGAAACTGCAGCCAGGATGTAAAACAAACAAACAAACAAATTTATATAAAAAGACTTGGCTCCTAGGTCTGGTGCTTCCTGATATGTAGTCATGCATATTTAATTTGACATTATAGTGTAATAAAATGCTGTTGCAAGAAAGAAAACAAATGCTGTGTAAGATCCAAAAAGGTGGTAGCTCACTGCTTGAAGAGGCTTTAGGGAGGATAATCTCTGAAGTGCCTTTACATTTTAATTACCCAAAGGTGTGATCTTGTGCATATTTTGTTGTTAAATGGGGTGATTATATTGTTGGTCAAGATATGGGATTCTATAGTTTTTTAAGTTTCTTTAGCTTATTATAATATTTTTGATAAACAGAGTGCTTCCAGCTCTTTAAGTGGCACAGACAGGCTTTATTTGTCCTTTTCATCTCAAATCCCAATATATGTTGGATGGACGAGTGATTTTAGAAAGAAGAAATTTCAGAAAGTGTCTTTGAGACCTTATCTATAATTTTCTTCATTCATATTTGAGCCTCAGTAGTATTTATGTGGAGGATATGTTCATCCTTAACCAGAACAATTCAGCTTCCTTACGTGGAGTTCTAATGATTAGATGAGAAGAGTTCCCTTGATGAGAAGGGTTCCTGTTGTATATTTTGCTTGTGTTCCAACAAATAAAGCCTTCCTGGAGATTAGAGGGCAAGGCTAGCCACTAGTTAGCCATAGAGGTCAGGCAGTCGTGGAACATACCTTCAATGTGGTGGAGCACTTGGGAGGAGGAAGCAGGAAGAACAGGGGTCCAAGGTCACCCTGGGCTACACTAGGTTGAACCAGTCTAAAAGAGTAACAGAGCTGGGGAGTGGGGTGCACACCTTTGGTTCCAGTACTTGGGAGCCTCAAGCCTTTAAATCCAGCACATGAGAGGCTCAAGACTTTGATCCCAGCACATGGAAAGTTCATGTTTTTAATCCCAGCACTAGGGAGGTAGAGACAGGAATACAAGGCAGGTGGAGACAGGATCTCGGCCCCCATTCAGTCTGAGGATTTGTAGAGACAAGGTCTCTAGTGGCCGCTGCTCTGCTTCTCTGATCTTTCAGCTTTCACACTCATATGTGACTCCTGGTTTTTTATTGATAAGACTAATTAGGATCTCAATTCAAGCTCCCTTGATGGGAAGAGTTCCCTTGATGAGAAGGGAGCTATCATTGCCTTTTACCAGTCCTCAGTTTCTTCACACATTCAAATAAACTGATTACAAATCTGTATCTTTCCTCACAGTGTTGCATTCCTTTTTTAGATTTAGGATTTGGAAGATTGTGTAGATGGAGGGGAGATCTGGAGCACTTACTGTTCTACTGTTTGTATTTTGTAGAAGAGGAGCTGAGCGGCAAGGGTGTCAAAAGATCATGGAAAGTCCAAATCAAGGATTCAAGCATTTGGTCTTCCTCTTAGCAGGCTTTCATCTCCTTCCACATCCAGTTTGAGGTCTTAAAAATCTACAAGTTAAAACAAAGTAAGTGGATTAAACAAAAATGAACTTACAACATCTTTCAAATCATGATCATTAACTTGTGGTAAGTGAGAAGATATTTTGAGCTCTGATGAATTCCTTGGTAGACTTCAAACATCAATAAATGTAAAGGTATAATTAGGTAGGATTAAGAAGCTGTGGTGTTCTAATGCACAATTGAGTAACGACAGAAACAAATAGTGGACTGTGTGTTCAAAGGCCTAGAAGAAAATATTTCAAAGATTTCCCTGCACAAAACTATGATACATTTGGGAAGATAGATATGGCCAACAAGATTTAAACTTTACACAGTGCATACATGCATTAAAACGTCACATGATTCCCCATACATGTGATTTTTAAAAATTTAATTAATAAATTTATTTTACACCCTGACAGTTTCCCTTCCCTCATCTCCTCCTATTCCCTCCGCCCACCTCCCCTCCACCCCTCCTCTATTCACAAATGGGCAGGCTGTCCATGGATATCAGCAAAGCATGGCATATCAAGTTGCCATAAGATGAAGCACCTTCCCCTGTATTTAGGCTGGGCAAGGCAATCCAGTATGAGGAATAGATTCCCAAGAGCCAGCCAAAGCATTAGAGACAGCCTCTACTCCCGTTATTAGGAGTCCCACAAACAGACCAAGCTACACAACTGTCACTTCTATGTAGAGGGCTTAGGTCTATCCCATGCAGGCTGGGGCCCTGGTTGTAGCTAGAGTTTTCCTGCCTTGCCCACAGTCAGGACAAATCTTTGTCACCCGCCAGTCCCACAGCCGCTCAGACCCAACCAAGTAAACACAGAGACTTATATTGCATACAAACTGTATGGCCATGGCAGGCTTCTTGCTAACTGTCCTTATAGCTTAAATTAATCTATTTCCATAAATCTATACCTTGCCACGTGGCTGGTGGCTTACCAGCGTCTTCACATGTGGCTTGTCATGGTGGCTGCTAGCAGTTTCTCTCTGCCTCAGCCTTCCGCTTCCCAGAATTCTCCTCTCTCCTTGTCCCACCTACTTCCTGCCTGGCCACTGGCCAATCAGTGTTTTATTTATTGACCAATCAGAGCAATTTGGCATACAGACCATCCCACAGCACCTGGTTGTTGGTTCAGACTCTGTGAGTTGTTATGAGCCAGGTTCGTTGTTTCTGTGTCCTCACTCGTAAGTGGATATTAACTGTAAAGTGAAGGATAACCATACTACAACCCACAGCCCCAGACAGGCTAGGTAAATTAGGCCCCCAGAGGGCCCAAGGGGGGGGCATGCATTTGAGTAATTTTTAATTGTATGTCAGTTAAAATTAACTTAGTTAAACATGTTTATCCAAGACTAATTGTAAAAATCAACTTGGATTCCCTGACAGAATATTACAGACTGGGTGGCTCAAGTGACAGATTTTTTTATTTTATGTCTTGATATTATAATATAATTTCCTCATTTACTCCTTTCATTTTCTCTCCCCAAACCATCCCTTATGTCCTTCCTTCATTTCTTTCCTTCAAATTCATGGCCTCCATTTCTTCATTAATTTTTTTTTGTGTGTAGAAAGCAAAACACATATTACATACTAATATTTTATAACCAAACATGAATTTTGTCTCATACCATTTGTCAGACTCTCTATTTGAGCTGCTAATATGGAAAGAGCACATAATTTAATAGGAGTAACCATCATTAGAGTACCAATCTGGGATCAAGCTTTGAAACAGGACCTTTGGGGCACATTCTAAATCCAATCTATAACATATGCAAATTTCTTTATTTTTAAACCTAATAATGATCTGGATTGTTTTCCTAGTTTGACTGTTATGAATAAAGATTCTATGAAAATTAAAGTATAAATCTCTTTTTATATATACTTTCTTTCCATTGAATAAATGCCTAGAGGTAAACTGGCTAGATCCTATCCTTTAATATTTAAATACGGCATTTTTTAACTTTATTCTGCCAAAATATTTTCAGAAGTGATTGAATTGTTTTTAATTTTTGTAGGGAATCACTGAATAATCCATTTCTTTAACAGCGTCACTGATACTAAGTGTTAACCACCTGAAGTTTAGCTATTGTGATAATCATGAATGCATCTTATCATGGTTTTAAACATCACTTCTATAATGGCTAATTATGGTAAGTATATCATCATAAATTTATTGCTATCTATAGCTCTTCTTTGGTGAGGTCAGTGCTCAAATCCTGCCTATTTTAAATATTGGGCTGTTTATTTTCTTTTGCTATATTTTCAGAGTTCTTTATGTATTCTGTTACAAGCTTCTTGTCAGACATATGCTTATAAATACTTGTTATTGTACTTCAATTTGTAAAGTTATGGATACAATCCTGTGTAATCTGTGTTTACAAATACCATTTCATTAATAGTTCAAGCTTATAAAAATAATGTTGAAGAAAGTTTAGGAGCAGCAGCACCCTAAGGACAGGAATCAAGAGGAGATGTAAGAAGATCTAGGGCCCTCCTTTTATTTTATTTATTTTGGTTTTCTGCTTCCTAAACATTTAGCTCATGTGTTTTTTTGTAGTATATCAAGAATTAGTTGTTCTACTCAGGGCATTTGGAAATATGAAATATCATATACAATGCTTCCTTAATTTAATGTTTACAGTTTTATCAAGATGATGTACACATACAAGGTTATATAAGGAAATGCTTGTGGGCAAAGCTGAGAAAAATCAGTAATTCTCTGGCCAATCCCTTATTACCTTTCTGTCATTCTGTTAGTTTCTGCTTCTAGTAATTTCCTCTATATTTCTAAATTGCTAATCTTCTATAGAGTTATCTGTTTTAGGCTTTATTCTTAATTTGCTCTTGTGGTATAGGATGATTTAAACAATTATATGCTCCCAACCATATACCCTCCCAATTTATTCAAACAGGTAGATGATAATATTAATTTGAATATAATACTATACAAATATGTTCACTTTTCAGCTACAATGTATTATGTTTCCATTTTCCCTCTTATATGTATTTTCTTTTTTTTCTGGAAACATTTCTTTATTTCCACTTTTATTCTATGCAGTTTGGCTACTTTTGCAATTTCCCAGCTTCTCTGTCACACTGGTCATATATACATCAATATTCTTTCCCCAGATGTAAATGTATCCTACCGTCTTATTAAATAAGAAACACAGAAACAATGTAAAAGAGAAAGCAGAGAGGTCAGAGCTCAGAGCTGAAATCTCACCCTTCCTGCTGCGGTGTCCCAGCTTCCCGAAAAAGAGCTATTTCCTTGTGTGTCAATCAGTTAAAAGTCATTCTGCCTTCTCATTGGTTGTAAACCCAAACACGTGACTGCCTCGTCACTGTCTGAATGTACAGCCCCCTAGGTCTTAAAGGTGTATGTCTCCAATGCTGGCTGTATCCCTGAACACACAGAGATCTATGGGGTTAAAGGTGTGTGCCACCACCGCCACACTCTGTCTATGGCTCTAATAGCTCTGACCCCCGGGGAACTTTATTTATTAACATACAATCAAAATCACATTTCAGTACAATTAGAATACCACCACACCCAGATGTTCGGGCCCTTGGCTAGTATATTCATTTTCCCCCTGGGATTTTGCCCTTTGAGACTCTATCCTGCTCCGTTCTAGAGTTCTGGTTTACTTTCAGTATTTTGCATAGCTGTTGTGCTGGGCTTCACCTTCACATTCCTTGTCTGAGAGTCTCTCCTTTTAAAGTTAATCAGCTTTGTTCTTTGACAAGTTGGTACAGGTATACAATACATTTTGATTGTTCTCAGTTCCCCACTGTCTCTTACATCCCCCTTGTGCTCCCCACCCTTTCCCTACCTGTCTTCGCGCGTTAATGGTCCTGTGTTCTAGCTATTTTCTTTTCCTCTTTCCTTGGAGAACATCCTCTTAGCTTTCCAATGAATGAATGAGGCAAATTTTATTTTTCCCTCCTCCTCAATTGACAGTTAACCTAGATATGGAATTCTAAGTTGAAAGCAATCTCTCAAAACTGAAAAGACACGTCCCTTTGTCTTTTAGCTTCTGGTGTAATGCTGGAGAATCTAAACATAATTCTCATTCTTTTGTATGGAACCTTTTGCTCACTGGAATATTTTTGTCCTGGGCACTTATAGATAGTTGTTATGATGTGTGCTCAAAGGACACATAGTGTACACATATACTGGATTCTCTCATCTGTGGAGGCAATATCGTAATTAAAGAAACCTTGAATTTTTTCTTTTCATATTTATTTTGTTATGTAATTTTTGAAAATCTGTCAAGTGCTGAAATATTCTGAATTTTCATAGTCCATCTTTCCTATTTATTTTTATTTTTTTTATTTTTTAATTTTTTAAAAAAATTTTATTATAGTTTTGAGAAATGTTCTTGGTTCGTCTTCTAAGTGGCTCCATTGAATTTTGTATAATAACTACTACATACATTTCTATTTTCTAAGACTGATTTATTATTTTTAGAAGACTTAGTTTTTAAAGCACTCTATTTAATCTTATTTCTTTTTTACATTTTTGAAAACCTAAGCATTTGATGATTATTTTTTGTTCTGAGTGTTTCCTCAATTCCTAGAAATCCTCAGCCTTTTGGGTGGTCTGAAATATGAATCAGCTCAGTTTTCAATTTTTCTTGATCTTCTTGTAGCCAGCTCTGTTGGTACACTGCCAAGTTCTCCTTTGTAGGTTAGTGCCCACAGCTCTTTGCTCAAGGGTAGGCTGCTTGCTAGTGGCTTTCACTTGCAGTCTTCTCTGGAAGCTGCTGATAAATCAATGGAATCACTTTTTGAGTATGCAATTTTGGGGACTCAATGACATTTGTAAATATTAGAGACTTATTTTAAGGATATATAGTCTCTGTACCAATCAATGGCCATTACGTGTTGTATGAGCCCTAGTAGGTAGACTAAATGAATCTTGGGACTAAGGAGTATAAATAAGGGTGATCCAGTCCACCATTACTGTACAGTTAAAGGATCTATGTGTCTGTAGATCCTGGCTTCAGAAGGGAATGTGAATGCAATAAGAATTCAATTTCACTTCAAAATGTAGGTGATCTCTCCTACCTGGACTCATTACCATAGCTGCAGGCAAAGAAAGGGAGGCCCTAATTGGTCAGGATAATTGTGACCCTGTTTATCAATGAGGTGCTAAAATTGCTGTTATATAATGGGGAGGGAGAATATTTTTGGCACTCAGATGATCCACTAGGACATCTCTTGATATTGCCATGCCAAGTTTTAGGTGTATATATCTACCAGTGAAGTAATAAAGGCTTACTAATCAGGGACTTTGACTACTTGAGGATCCAGGCCAGTATCATTTCATTAGATGAATTGTTTAGGTAATAAAAATGCTAACAGGGCACCAGTGAGTCATTATTCCTCTCTCTAGAATTCCTCCATTACTTCTGTCTCTTCTTGTTTTCCTTGTTTCTGCAACCATTCCAGGTTATATACTCACATAAAAATATTCAGAGCTAGGAACCACAAGTGAAGAAGAACATGCAATGTTTGTCTATCTGAGTCTGGGATAATTCGCTATGTTTTCTAGTCCCATCCATTTATTTAAAAATTTATTATTTTGTTTTTTAATCTATGAATAGTAATTCCATCATGTATATATACCACATTTTCATTATCAATTTATAAACTGAGGGACATTTATCCCTAGAAAGTGGGATAGTAGTGCACAGGTATTATGAAGGGGGAACTGGGAAAACTCAGAGGGGAGGTATAACCAGAGAGGGAAAAGAGAGGGTGATACAGAGGGAGAGAGAAGGAGGGGGTATGATTGATCCCAAATATGTCTGAAAAAGCCACAAAGAATCAATATATACAATACATATATTGCCTATTACATATATTAAATAAAGTTAAACCACTAGGGATGATAATCCCCCAAAGAGCCATAGTCTATCGAACAAAAGTCTCAGTAGCCTCCTTTAAAGATTTTGGTTCCTGAAGTCCAAGAGAAGCCCCAAACAATATAGGCTATTGCCATTGTCCGTAGTCTTCCCAGAATGTACAAGTAAGTCCCCATTGATGAAAATACCACATACTTTGCACACGGGACTCAGAGAAATAGAGCTGGAACTGACTTGGAAGCCTCATCTCTAAGAATGAGTTGTCATACTATGCAAGGTTCTATGCAAGCTGCCAAGGGAGAAAAGCAATCAATAGTCCTAACAAGCTGTGAAGCTTGTGAACCACAATGACCAGCCTAGCAAGAGATCTACAAAGGTGCAAGACCATGTGGCACTTATATCTTGGGGGTAATCAATAGCCATCTAATTAGATTTAAAGACTGTTCAATAGGAGGGAATTCATGCCTAGTACTGTAAACCCAGCCAACTCCCCATGACTGATTAGACCATGGAACCCATAAGAGAGCCTACTACGGCCACTTCTCTAAAAGGTACTATTTCTACCTGCATTCTGAATACTTCTACCTATGTCCACAGATAAGTGTAGCTCTTCCTTTTACATCAGATAAAGACCATCACAGAAAGCCATAACCATTCAAAACAAAGAGAAAAACTGCATTTGGGTATCCAGCTTTAACTGCTATATCTATATGATAATCCCTACACTTAAGGCTGGAAAGAATTTAAGGGCCATAAGACCAGGGTGTCTGTGTTGAGATAGCATTTTCTATGTAGAAGAGGGAAGCTGAACCCATGAAATCTTAACAATATGGTTGCCTAAACAAGACCTGCATAGTGAAATTACCAGTTGACATGCCAATGTGGATGGGGGAAATTTTATAATGCCACACCCATAGATGAAGAGCAATAAACGATTAATGAATGTCAGGAGAGGGATAATTAGTCTTCCCCAGTAATGAATCCCACAATTAGTTGTCTAATACAGGGAATCAGTCCTGGAAAAGATGTCATAACATGAAAGGTAGTGAGGAGGAACATGGGCTGGAGAGATAAAAAGAAACAGGAAAGTGATATAATTGTATTTTTATTAAAATCTATTTAAAAATAAAAACATGCACATATAAAAACTTTCAGTGGACTCAGCAGGTTGAAGTTATATATGTATATATACATATACATATAACAACAATAGTTAATGAAAAAGAAAACAATATAACAATGATAGAAGGAGGGCTTGGAGCTACAGGAAAGGGAACATTGTG